CTGAAACTGTTCCAAAAAATAGAAATGGAAGGAAAACTTCCATACTCGTTTTATGAGGCCACCATTACCCTGATCCCCAAACCAGACAAAGATCTCATCAAAAAGGAGAATTACAGACCAATATCCTTGATGAACATGGATGCAAAAATCCTTACCAAAATACAAGCCAATAGGATCCAACAGTACATTAAAAGGATTATCACCACGATCAAGTGGGACTTATCCCTGGGCTGCAAGGTTGGTTCAACATCCGCAAATCAATCAATGTGATACAATACATTGAGAAAAGAAAGTACAGGAACCATATGATCCTCTCAATAGATGCAGAGAAAGCATTTGACAAAGTACAGCAACCTTTCTTGATCAAAACTCTTCAGAGTATAGGGATAGAGGGTACATACCTCAATATTAGAAAAGCCATCTACAAAAAACCTACAGCGAATATCATTTTCAATGGGGAAAAACTGAGAGCTTTCCCCCTGAAGTCAGGAACACAGCAGGGATGTCGACTATCACCACTGCTATTCAACATAGTATTAGAAGTCCTAGCCACAGCAATCAGACAACAAAAAGAAATAAAAGGCTTCCAATTCTGCAAAGAAGTAGTCAAACTCTCACTGTTTGTAGATGATATGATACTTTATGTGGAAAACCCAAGAGACGCCACCCCAAAACTGCTAGAACTCATACAGGAATTTAGTAAAGTGGCAGGATATAAAATCAATGCACAGAAATCAGTGGCATTCCTATATACCAACAACAAGACAGAAGACAGAGAATTTAAGGAGTCGATCCCATTTAGAATTGCACCCAAAACTATAAGATACCTAGGAATAAATCTAACCAAAGAGGCAAAGGATCTGTGCTTAGAAAACTATAAAATACTCTTGAAAGAAATTGAGGAAGACACAAAGAAATGGAAAAACGTTCCATGCTCATGGATTGGAAGAACATTATTGTGAAGATGTCAGTGCTACCTAGAACAATCTACGCATTCAATGCAATCCCCATCAAAATACCATCCACTTTTTTCAAAGA